AAACCTGTCAGCTCTGTGCAGGAGAAAAGCCTCTGGTTTAAACAGAAGTTTGCTCTGAACAGGAGCCCAGCAGTTTGCTTTTTCCCTTGGGATGTACATAGATTCCTGTTTTGAGGGAAGTAGGGGGTGGAAATGCAGGTTTCCCTGTTGCTCTGCATCTCTGTGGTGAAATAAAATGTGTGCAGATGGGAGAGGATCAGCCTGGAGAGGGCTTGGCCACGATGCTGCTTCTGTGCAGGCTCACACAATCTGCCAAGTCGCTCTTGGGATTGCGCGCTCGCTGGAACAAGAACGTCCCTGCAGCATGGAGATGTTGCCTAGAAAGCCGACTTGTTTACTTAGGATTGGGGAAGGATCTTGACCTTCTTGCAGCAGTGTCGCAGAGGGCAGAAGTGGTAAAATAGTCGTGGTCCGGCTCCATGGTGAGGGTGATTCAAGATGGCTCCGAGCACGGAGCACCCGCTGCGCTTGATCAGCAGGGTGTGGGGGCCCTGTGACCATAGGGCACGGTGCCTCCTCGTGCCCTCCTGGGCAGCCAGCTGTGTTGGCCCTCTCAGCAAATGGCTCTTCTCCTTCCTCGTCTGAGCATCTGATGCAGTTCTTTCCCCAGCCAAAAACGTGGAGAGGACTGTTGGTTTGTCCTCCCCACCCCCATCACAGCCGGGTTTAGTGCATGCTTCAGGCCTCTTCAGCAGTGCTTTTTGCTGTATGTGGGTGATGGCGGTTATGCACTGGCCACATCTTGCTCATGACCGTAGCAACTGCTGCGACAGAGTCTTGCCAAGAGGAACAGGCAAACCTGGCTCTGGGGACTGGTCCTGCTGAGCCTGGGAGTACAGGAGTGGCTTTGCTGCTTGGAGACTGGCTCACCGAGAGCTCAGGGCCAGGGAGGGAAGGACCATCCTGTCCAACTGCTGTGGGTGATTTGGCTGTTTCAGCCTATTACAGGTGCGTGGGGGGAGGCAGCAGGTGATCTTGCTCCTGGAGACTGTATGGTAGTGAAGTCCTTGTCTCTGCCCACCTGGAACGAGGGTGCTGAAGTGATCTCTGAGCCTGACCTGGGCTGGTGCGTGGGGGGAGTGTTGCCCATTCTGGTCAGAAGTGACAAAACAGCAGAGAGACAGAGAGATCAGACTGTAGCAGCGGCTGTATTGTCGCTTGGAGCCTGTCCGCAAGGAGAAAGTGGTGCCTGTGGCTTGCGTGATGGTGTGGTGTGTTGCAGACCTTCCCCCAGGCTGTGAGGAGCTGTGTCCAAGGTTTCCCGCATGCGGGAAGCTTGTTACCGGTGTGGTAAATGCTGCTGGATTCATGTCAGCTTCAGACGAGTCAGCTCCTGGGACCTGTTTGGTGTGAGACAGGAAGTGACATCTACCTTTCTAAGAAGTTCTACCGACTACAGGGCTTTGAGTTTTCTCCCACAGTTAGAGGCGTAATCCTGTTCTTGCCCCTGCACCAAACTTTGGAGAAGGAGGAAGAGGAACCTTTCCAGACAGTGCCTAACTTTATGCAGAGCTGCTGCCGCCTCCAGCTCTTAGTGCAAGCTGATCTCTTCCATCACTGTCTTGTGAAGTGCCTGAGACAATTTGTGTCTTGGGAACTGATGGGATAGACCTAGCAGGATTAGGACAGCTGAGAATTAATTAGGAGCTGCTGGTTTAATTAGTAGTGTCTCAGTATACTTGCACATGAGGGCTGGAGGCCGAGGGCAGTAGCATGTCCTGTGACTCAGCCTTCCTTCCTGCCTTCGGAGAAGGGTACCAGCCTCTTGCGCCTGCCGTTGTGCCAGCGTCACTGCGTGTAGAAGCAGAGCAGTACGAAGGCCTCATCGTGCCCCTTTTGTGCTCTGAGCTTCCTTGGTGTCTGCTTTTCACAGAGCTCTTCTAGGAATAATTCCTTCTGCGCTAGTGGGCTGAGGTAGCTTGGCTCTCTGAAGGGCTTGCTGCCTCTCAGGCTTTCCAGCTCCCGCTTCGCTGGAAGCCCGGGCTAACCCCAAACCCCATTGTCTTCATCTTGATTCCGGGCTGCAGGTTAAGGGGCCCTCAGGGCAAAACCACGGGGCCCTTCTCTGAGGTGAAGCTGAGGCGCTGCCTGCTGCAGTGGCTCTGGGGACCGGCCTTGAGGTTGCATTATCTCCTCAGTGCAGACCTCTGTCCTCAGCAGCTGAGGGAGGAGATCCCTCCCGAGGCCGGATCTTACTGCGAGCTGGGGCAGGCAGTTGCAGCGGAGCTGCTTGCTCCGGGGCAGCTGGGTGCAGCCTGGCCTGAGGTCTAAATGAGACCCTCCTTCCTGGCCTAATCCTGCCACTCGGTGAGTGTGGGGTGGCCAATGCTCGCGACTGTTTGTCACCCCTTGTCCACGGGAACTTGGCTGGGGCCATATTTGGCCTCTTCAGCTGGGCGGGGGAGGAGGGTGGTGGGCTAGCAGCGCCCGGGAGGGTCTTGGGCCCTGCAGCTTGAGAGGACCCAATTGAGACGCGGTGACGCTGCCCTCATGGACACGGGCGACGGGTGGCTCCGGCCCGGCTCTGCCGGGTTCCGTGGCACGAACGCTCAGGCCCTGCTGGTCTCCCCCAGCACCTAATGCCCCACCGCTCCTCGGTTACCTGGCTCCTGCAGGCGGCTGGCAGGAGAGGGCTGGTGTGTAGCTCGGGGCCTTCCCCATCTCCGCAGGAGCTGCCTCTCTAGGGAGCCCTGTGTGTTCTCACCTCACTTCTGATGCTGTGGCTGCCTTCCTGGGAGATGGGCTGCCACCAGTAAGGCCTAGAAAGGACTCTTGGAATAAATGCCTTTATCTGAAGGACCTCTCAATTTCTGGCATATCATTTGAGCCCCTTACGATCGCGTGCCCCATCCCTTGTTGTCCGTATGGATGAAACGGGGTGTCTTTGTAGTCCCTCCTGGCCTGTCGTTGCAGGGCTGGACCCTCAATTCCCTGGGAATGTGCTCAAGCCCTGGTGAAGCTGGGCGCTGCCCTGAGCGCTGCGGCGGGCGCGCACCGGGGCTGTGCCCAGGGGCCGCCCTGCTGGCGGCTCCGTGGCCCTCCCTGCGGCAGGACGGGAAGGGGAAGCTCCAGGATGGTGGTGAGGACAAGCAGATGGGCCAGTGCCTTCATCCTGCGTAGGCCGCCACCAATGCAACAGCTGCCGGCCCTTGCCGCGATACCTGCTTTTAGTTGAGGGGTGCAGTGCTCACGCTGTGCAGCGCCCCCGGGCTGCCTTTCTCTCCTCAGCCACAGTTTGTCCTCTTACCCTTCTGCCCGTAGGTGTTGCTGTAGGTGCGTAGCAGAGATGGGGCTTGAACGCAGACACGTCGCTCGTGCCTGGGGCTGGCACCATTGACATTCACAGTGGCATCCTCTGTGCTGGTGGGTGACGCCGCTTGCTCGGCGTGATGAGATCGGGGAGCAGGACGGCTCCTGCCCCTGTGTGGGAGATGTGTGTGCACAGCCCATCGCTGCGGGGAGCGGCGTCTGTGTGTCCTTTGCTTTCCTCTCCCAGCTCCCTGGGGCAGGCAGCTCCCTGGATCAACAGAGCAAAGTAATCTGAGGTCTCCTTAAATCACCTTGGAAGAAAACGGACGTGCCCAGCTCTTGGCATCTTTATTTTTACTTCAGTGCCGAGATGGCTGCGCTGTCCGCTCCTATTGCCTGCACTTGGCGAGCACTGCAGCACGTCGCAGACGTGCCTGTCTGTGCGCAGAGCTGCCTGCGCCCCGGGGCCATGCAGCCGTGGGGCCTTTGCCTCCTCTGGAGTGTCTTAATTCACTTCTCTGCTTGCTCGTTTTCCTTGCTGCCTTTCCCGAGCTTTGGCTTTTCCTTCTTTGCTCAGAGCAACCTGGATGACTGGAGAGAGGGCAGCTGGGGCCACATGGTCGCACTGGATCCCAGAGACCTTTTTTGTTTGGTTGGTTTTTTGAGGTGGGGTGGGAGGTGAATGGAGGTGGTTTGTAAGGGCTGGAATCGGCCTGTTCTGATGTAGAAACCTTTCTTATCTGCTCTGTATCCAACTGCGCACGGAGATTGCCTGGAGGGAGGGAAGCCTTGGAAAGGTTCAGCTTCCTGACAGTGCTGCAAGCTAGCGGGTTTGCACCTCATGTGGCTCTGTTCTCATCAGCCCTGACGGTGCCGGTTTGCCAAAGCTGCCCTGCTCGCCCCATGCTGCCAGCTGCTCCGGGTCCCTTCTCTTTGTGCGTGGCAGCCCCAAACCCCCAGCCAAGCAAGTTCCTCACATTCTGCTTGCAGGATGAATGTGGGGAGGTTGATTTTTATAGGGAGCTGCTCCAAAACTAACCCCACAGTTAAGAGGTAAAATGAGTGGTTTCACTCATTGAACCAGGCGCCTCTGGAACCTCTTGGATGGAGGGGGGGAAAGTTCACCTCTGCAGGCAGACCTGACCCTGCAGCGCGTTGGGATGGCCCAGGGAGGGCTCTTGGCACCCGGGGAGCCCTGGACACGCAGTGCCCAGCCCCCCCCAGCCTGTGAGGCCAGCAGCGTGCGGAGTGTGCAGCCGCACAGCGCATGCTGCAGCCGCACGGTGCGCCTGCCGGGAGCCGTGTCAGCCAGCGCCAGCCCTGCGGGATGTTGCGTTGCTGGGGCTTGGTGCGGGCCCGCTCTCCCTCAGTGAGGCACGGGTTTGAGCTCGTGTTCCTTCTTGCTGGATCCTCCACAGCCCAAACCCTTCCAAGTCTCGACCTGTGTGCCAGTGATTCGGTAGCCCTGGCAATGGCACACGAGCAGCTTCGGGGAGTGGAGAGCAGAAGGGGAAGTGTTTTTTCCTGTTGCTGTGAAATTGCCTCTTAAGTTTTTCTGCTTGGAGCGAAGAAGTTCTTGGGGACTTCTTTTTGCCCCTTCAGTTGCCCTGGTCCGTGTGGAAGGGCAGCGTGGTGCTGGCGAGGGCGTCGGGAAAGTAGGGTGCCTGCCAGGCCAGGTGCCATCCGTGAGCACAGGGCCTGCGGAGGGTTACGCGCCCGCAACCAGGGCACAGGGTGCTGGCCTTGGAACCATGTCGGGTCCTGGCGTGGGCCAGGGTGTTGCGGGAGGGCGGCTGCACGCTGAGCTCCAACAGCAGCCGGCTCTGCAACGCCGCACGGGAGCGAGCAGCCCCTCGCTGCTGCTGCGAAAGGCCGTGAAGCTCACTCAGCCCGGCTGCGCGGCTGGCAGCGCCCGCCTGGCGCGTGTGCCAAGGGCAACCAGGAGAGCGGCAGGGCGGGGCGGGGTTCTCCCCCCCCGCCCGCCGTGCTTCCCGAAGCCCGTGTTCTGCCCAGAGATGCTACCTGATTGTAGCTGCCACAGCTGTGCAAGTGCCGCATGGTACCTTTGCCCAGGCACATCTCCTCCTGAGGGTGGCTGGGTGCCCTGCTTCTGGGGGCACCAGAGGCTGCAGAGCCCTCAGTGCTCCTTGCTCTCGGGCCAGGGACACCTGAATGGAGAGGAGGGCTTCGCTGCTGCCGCGTCCTTCGCTGTCAACCTGGGAGCAGGTGCTGGTGCAGAACCTGGGAGGACCTAGATTTCCCTGATTCTTCTCCCAGATGAAGGTTTGCATCTCAAGGAGCTGAAATTGCTGCTGTTACGATCTTCCATGGTGTGAGGAGGCTGATGCAAAGATTTTAATGGTGATGACAGCTGGGAAGAGCACGAGGGGAGCAGAGAGGGCAAGAGCACTGAGAGTAACAAAGGGGAAAATGTGCCTCTGAACTGAAAGCGTGACCTGGTTCCTCTCCTCCCTTTTCTCCACCTTGCATGTGTTTTTCAGTCTCCCATGGGAGCATAATTCTGCTGCTGCATAGGGCCCGCATATAGCACTCGAGGCAAGGCTGAACGCGAGGTTTTGCTTTCTCCCTGTACTTACGCGTGTGTTTTCCCTTCCCAGCTATCAAGGTGAGCTGCGTGGGCTCCTGCGGGGTGTCTAGCAAGATCAATGACACCGCCTGGACTGTGGAGGAGCAGTACTTTAACAGCACGCTGTCTCTGGCAGACAAAGGTAAGATCCACAAGGAACAGCAGAGACCTGCGGCTGTGCTGCTGCATGCTGGGAGGTGGCGACTTGGCGACGGCTGCAGAGATGCCCCGCTGACACTTGAGCGTCCTGCTGACGTGTGATGGCCCTTTGCAGGCCCTTGGCCTGTGCACAGAGGATGAGAGTCGATATTAGAAACTGCAAGAGCTCGGAGGGAGCTGTGTGGAGCCCGGGAGGCTGCAGGGCTTGCAGCCGCCCTGCAGACACTGCCTGCATCCTCAGGCTAAGACAGGGCTCTTGGCAGCGACTTCTCTGATGCTCGTGGGTGTCCATGAGTGCCAGGGCCTTGGCTTCGCTCAGCTCTGCTGCCAGGGCGTGTTGTCTCGGGGAGTCACGGAGCGCTGCTCCAGGCAGCTGCGGAGAACACTTTGATCACACTGGTGGGGACGTGGAGGTGTTGCTTTCTCTCCAAGAGAAACGTTGTGAGAGTGCCCTAAAATAATTACCAGGGCACGCCCTGCAAGCCGAGATAGGGGCTGGGCTGTATTATGCCAGAGGGTAAAGTGACACCAGAAGTCTCTAGGGAATCTGGACACAAATGAATGCTGCCTTTCTGCTGTTAAATAGGTCAGTGCCACTGCAAATAATTCATGCTGTGCTCTGGTGCCTGTTGAAACCGAGAGGTGCCACTACCCACCTGCTGAAGGCTGTGGCTGCAGCGGTAACTGTGTACCCAGTCTGGCCAAGGAGCAGGCTAGTAGGTGCCCAGGGTGCCCTCTCCTCCTCTTTTATCTAATAACAGGAAACGGATAAAACCAAAGTGGCAGCTTCTGTTTGCTCAGCAGTTTTTAAAACAGGGCTTTTAGCGTTGAGGCTGACCTCATCCTTCGAGCATGCACAGCGAGTGCTGCCTGTGCAGGTCCCGGGCTGGGAGGCAGCTGCCGGGCTCGCCCTGTGCCCTGGCTGCCGGCCCACGGCTGCGGGAGAAGGGAGGGCACTGAGAAACCTTCCTGCCCAGCTTTGGGAACGGAGCTGGCAGCAGCCGAGCAGCCCCGCTGGGAATGGGGCTGGTAGCAAAATCCTAGTGACTTTGTGAGGTGCTCCGGGCAATTGAGCTCAAATGAGCTGAGAGCTGCAGGCTGTGAACTTGGATTGCAGAATTTGGGAGAGTCATAAACCTGCAAGTGCACTGAAAAAAACTGAGCCTTCCAGCTCTGGTTCTACTATTTGATCCTTTGTGGGAGAAACCATGATACTGTGGTTGGCAAAAGCCCTTGGTCTTTTGCTCTTAACTTTCTAGGACTCAGATTTTTAGTGTCCTGCTCATTTCTGTGTGGATATTTGTCAAGTACCAGCACTGTGAGCTTTGCCAGAGACCAAGCCTCGAGAGCTGTGTGTTTGGGGTCAGGACTGCCTGCACGGTGTCCCCCGGGAGCAGGAGTCAGTGGGGCAGGACACATCGGAGAAGTGATGAAGGCAGCAAGGGAGAAATCTGTCCTGTAGGACTGCCGATTCCTCACTGCGCTTAAAGGCTCAGGTGTCGGAAGTGCTCCTGCTGTCCTGTCTTACAAAGTCGCAGTGCAGCTGAGGCCTAAAAGTTTAGTCCCTGCTAGCAGAAGCGCAGAGCCACGTGCCAGGTACGCGTGGCCAGCGACATGCGCTCTCCTGCTCCTCGCGCGGAGCTGTGGGGGATGTGCCGAGGCCGGCACGCATGTGCCCTCTGGAGGGGGCGGCCTTTGGAGATCCGTGACTTGCCGTTCCCAGCCGCATTCCCAAAGCCTCCTTCTGCCACAGGACTCTGGGCTCTGCTGCCTGGGGCCCTCCTGTTCCACTGTCCTCGCTGCCCTGGGGCTGGCTCTGGCCCTGTGGACCATCCCGGCGCCATAGCAACTGTGTGGAGGCTCCCCTGCTGCAAACCCTGCCCACCGTGGGCAGCAGGCCCTCTGCTCGGCCTCCTGATGGGCAGCACTTGCCCCGTAGCTGTTGGTTGTGCAAGTGGTGCAAAATCACAAGTCCTTGTCCTGGACTTGCCGAGTTTGACCCTCATCCTTCTTGGGGCAGGACTGCTTGGTCTCTGCAAGGACACGGTGTTCCTGCAGGTGGTGTCTCTGGGCCTGAGTCCTCCCGGAGGGACTGCTTTGAAGCCATCCCTTGTGATGGCTGTGCTGGTCTGTACAGGGTTTGAACTAAAAGCCCGTGGGCCTGGCCTGATCCAGCCCGTGGGGCAGGAGAGCAGCAGGACTGTGTTGTGCCAAGCAGTCAGGCCGTGCACGCGGCGCCGCTCCTTAGGGATCTGGAGCAGTCGTCCCGTTGACCAAGAGAGCAGGGCTGGCCCTTGGCATGGATGCAGTTCTGCCTTTTATGGGCTCCCCAGGAATAACTCTCGGCTGCCAAAGCAGCTTCCCGGGACGGGACATGTGCGGGGCCAGGGAGCAGCTGGGGTGCGGGAGGTGCCGGAGGCAGGAAGCGCCTACATCCGTGCGCCTGTGCCCTGTGGCTCTATGGCCTGGCCCGGTGGGAAGTGGCGGCCACACAGCCACCGCCGAGAGTGAGTCTGCCCTCCAGCCTAATTAAAGCAACTAGAATGATGTGACTGAGCATTCGTTGAAAGACTTGGGTCCCTCGTTCTGTGCAATGCCCAGGAACGGGCAGGTGATAGGCCACGCTCCTGGCTAGCCTCAGCACTGCTGGAGACCTGGGGACAATGTCAGGCCGTAGTGACACGAAGCGCTGCCCCATTTCCACGCTGGGCTGCCTAGTTCAAGAGCAAAGCTCCACCTCTGGCCCATGCAAATCACGCGGAAGCACCTGTGATTGCCTGGGATCACAGCAGCTTTCTCAGCAGTTTGCAGTTCCTTGCCTCTATAGATCACAGTTAATCCTCGCTGGTTTTTGCAGCCTTGCCATTCTGTCAGATCCTACTCATACACGGACAACGTCCCTGGAAGCTGCTGATGCAGAGATTTGCCCGCAGTGGAGTCTTTCCAGCAGCTCGCTGGGCTTTGTGGCGTGGTCACTGCCTCGGGGCTTGTCCTGGCAGCCTCGGCCGCGTGTGCTCATCCCGCGCCGTGTCCTCCGCATGTGCAAACGTGGTGCGCGCTGGCGGCTGCTGCAGCACAGAGCCCGGGGCTTGCGCGCTGCCCATGCCGTGGCTCACCTCCACGCGAGGGCTCTCCTGTAGCTCCAGCTGGGAAGACCTGAGCGGAGCCGAGCGCTCGAGACTGTGCGGTTTGGCCAGGCTTGCCGCCAGGTCACCGTGTTGGCGCCTGTGTTTGTTCCGGGAATACTACAAGGAAATCCTTGCTCTTACCCCTATTCGCTGCAGTTTGTAATCCCACTTATTAACTCACTCTGCTGGAGCCCCGAGCTGGAGTCCTCGTGTTAATGCGTGGCCCGAGCTGCCCTGGCATGGGCAAAAGTGATGCTTCCACCCAACGCCTCGGAAGTGGTGTCCTGGGAGCAAGGTACAAAACACAGATCCACTCGTTTCCTGACCCCCGGGAAGCAGAGCCCAGCAGGCCCGGGAAGGGGGCAGCCGTGCTGCGTGTGCACGACACAGCCGTCGCCCTGACCAGGAGCCTCCACGGATTCTCCTCCCCGGGCAGTGGGAAGCTCATCCTGTGCGAGCGAAGGGCAGCGGGATCAGCAGGCACCAGGGCCCTCTCATTGCTGGAGGATTTGGCCAGCACAGTTGATGCATCACTTGCCAAGCAGCCTCAGAGAAACAGCCATATGGCCAGGCCTGCTGTTTCCTCACCTACAGTGACACAAAAATGTGCTCTCCAAAGGGCCAGCTTCTTCCTGTTCCGAAGCGGCAGCGCATCGGCACGCGCAGCAGCAGGGAACAGATCAGCCGCCTTCCGCTCAGCGCGTACCAGCAGGGAGAGCTGGTGGTCGGGGCAGGAGCTTGGGATGGAGCGAAGTCTTCCCAGCTCCTGACTGTGGCTCCATAGCCAACAACCCAGTGTTACTCACCCCCTCTTTGCAGGGTGTAGGGAGTGGTGTGTGGAGTGTGTGTCTTTTAGCCCGGGTCTAACTGTGGATGAAGGCTGGTGTGCTAGCCCTAAAATACAGCTGCAGGTGGCAGGCCTTGCTGTGTGCTCAGGCGTCTGGACTGCTTCTCCCAGTGTGTCAGAGTGTGAGACTTTGTTGGGGTGAGTAATAAGGCTGGAGTGAGACTGCCGTGTTTGTGCATCCGTGACCAAGGCATCTTCCTGCCCCGTGGTGGCTTCTCTCCAGGTCCATGGCCCGGTGGCACCAACCTGAGGTCCCGGCTCTGTTTCACTCGTGGTTGGTCTGCTCCGTAGCAGAAAGGCTGCCGTGTTGAGTGAACGTGCCCACGGGCACCTCCGTGTGCGGAGCTTCAGGCTTTTGCGAGGATTTGGGAAGGAAGTGCTGGGGCTGGATACATGGGCCCAGCAGTGCAGCGCGCTCTGCTCTGACCCTGGCTCGAACTTGTGGCCCAAGTAGATCTGGACCTACCTGTGTTGTGGGACAGGCTGTCATGCGCCCAGAAGTCGCAGAGCAGCCCTGCGAAAGCAGCCGTGCCCGGCAGGTGAGAGCTTCCTCCTTCCTGTGTGGTTGTCTCCCAATCCTGCTCGTCAGCCCTGCCCTGCTCTCCTGCAGGGTCTGCCAGGGACAGACATTCCCAGCCTTCGTCAGCCCATGCTGATGTGGGTGGATGTGGCTTCCTTTTCCTGGTGCCCTCGCCCTATGCTGAACTGGCCGCGTTGCTCTTGGAGGGATGATAAAGCTGAAGGGCCCTGAAACTCCTCTTGCCCCTCCACTTTGCCTGGGCAGAGTGTTGCCAACACTGCACGCTGGGCTGGTGAGAGAAGACCTTAAGCCCTTCCAGCAGCTGAACAGAGCGGAGCAGCCTCTGCTTAGCTCGTTCGCTTGACAGCGGTGGCCTTGGCAGCCATGGCTCCTACCCTGCATGGTCACCACAGTGTGGGGTTTTCCCCGAGTCCAGCAGAGCGAGTTTGCAGCAAGCACCCGTGGTTCTGCGTGCTGTTAGCTTCTCTTTGCTCTTCCCAGACTGAGCATTTTCGTATTTTCCAGCCTTGGGCGGCCTGTCCCACGCAGCAGCTTCTTTGCCTTGAGGAATTTGCAGGGAGGATGTTTCCCAGGGCTGCTGCTGCTGGCTGGGCTCCCATGTGGAGGAAAGGCCACTGCAGGTATGTCCCCACCGCCGAGCCCTGCTAATCCAGCTGCCGACGGGGCCTTGCTTGAGATATTTTTAGCTGCCTGTAAACTTCAGGAAAAGCTTTTGTGCCGAGCACACTGTGCCCTTTGTTCAGGCTGCTGGGAAGGGTGAGGTAATGGCTGCGCAGGGCCGGGTCGCCTCGCGCGGCGAGGCTGCCGTGTGGCATGGACGCTGTGTGGCGTGGGCACTGTGTGACACTGTGTGATGGGGCCACCTCGCGTGGCAGGAACACCGTGTGACACCATGTGGTGAGGCGGTGTCACGTGGAAGGACACTGTGTGGCACTGTGTGGCGGGGCCACCTTGCGTGGTGAGGACACTGTGTGGCGGGGCCGCGTCACGTGGATGGACACTGTGTGGTGTGGGTGCCGTGTGGCACCGTGTGACAGGGGCGGCCTCACGCAGTGGGGGCGCCGTGTGGTGCTGGCGCGAGGCCCTGCGCGGCGCTCAGCTCCAGCCGCCCCGTTTCACGGGGGTCATAGCAACCCGCCGCTGCTGGAGCGGCCGTCCCAGGAATGCTTTTCATCCCTGTCTGCTGCCAACAACCAATTCGCAGTTGCAAAGTCTGCCTGGGCGCAGAATTAGCATGTTAAAATTCTGCAGTCTTTGCTCAAAGCTCTCAGAGATGGGTGACAGGAGTGAGTGACCTCCCATGGGCGTCGTGTCCTTGTGCGAGTGCCAGAGCGGGGATGCCTGCAGCACGTGTGGCTCTGCAGCCACGTGTTGCCCTGTCGTGGTGTGTTCCTCTGGTTGGGTCCTGGGGGACCCTGTGGTGCAGGACAGTGCAGCGAGGCAAGGGGTATGGTGCAGTGCCTCGAAGTGGCTACAGGGGACGGCACGCATGAGGTGTGACACGAGTTGGAGCTTGCAAAGGCCTGGGCTGAGCTGCCTCCTGCTGCCCAAAGGGACCGAAGTTTTGGGACATGCCCTGACTCAGCCTGTGACCCATGCTTAGGCCATGCTCGCGTGGTGCCTGGGACGGGGAAACTGCAGATTTTCCCCCTCAGAAGAAAGCCAGGCAGTGCTTGGAAATGGGAATGCAGCCTGGGGAGCGGAGTTCCCACAAGAACTGTTTAAAAGCAGCTGCTGCCTCTTAATCGAGTCCCTGGTTGCTCTCTTCCCCATGGAATGGGGTCTCTACTCTGGGCTCTGCCTTTGTGCTGGCCAAAGGCATCGGATACATGGCAGAAGCCCAAAATGGCTCCGTGATCCCCAGCAAGGTGGATACGGAGGCTCTACTGTGTCTGCCTCATGGAGATGGGGGCTGGAGGAAGTCCTGCTGGGGAGACAAGCGGGAGCTGAGGAAAACCGCTTAGCCTGGGGTTACTGCTGAAGACCCGTGTCCCTTCCTGCCTCGCTGGTAGAGGACACAGGCAGGATCCGGGTTTCCCTGTGGGACCTGCTGACTTGTTACTCTGCCAAGTGCTCTGAACCATGCCCATGCTTTCACAGGCACTTTCCGTCTTGGTCAGGTTTTGCTCGTCTATTTTTATTAACCCAGGCCTTGGAAATAACTCCGGCGCCAGCCTCCCACACCCCTTCTGCTCTGTTAGTGGGCAGGCTCCTCTTCATGACTGCTCCCAGCTGCTCTGGTTGGCACTCCCCAGCCAGCCCTGGGCCTGAGGGTGCTCCCGTGAGTATGACCTGGGGCTTCTGCTTTTCCAGTCCCGCCTCGGGATGGGGCAGTGCCTTGCGGGCCGATGTCTCCAACCTCCTGCTGCTGCTGGAAAATCCCTGGTGCTTGGAGGCGCTCTGAGCTGGCTGCTCCTCCCTGTTGGGAGAGGAGGAAGGAGAGTGTGGGTAGGAGGGACACGGTCTGAAAACAGGAACCCCTGCTAATTGCCTGCAGCATTTCTGTCCTTAATGGAGTGGAGAACGGAGCTCGCTGCGATTTCCTGGCTCCCTGCTTGGCGCGGGGCTGCGCTCTGGACTCTTGTGGCCGTCAGCCAAGTCCTCGTGCGTTGCGCAAAGCCGAGCTGAGTTGCAGCCATGCAACGGGGGACATGGCTTGTGCGGTGCAGGGCAGCCACCCGGCCGCGTGCAGCAGCCCCTTGTGAACAGGCTGCCCGCAGGAGCTGCCAGCACCTCACTTGGTGGCTCCAAGAGCCAACCCGCACCCCATGCGAGTGGCACTGGCTCAGCTTGTTCCTCCCAAGCCTGCTGCTTTGCTCTGGGCTGTGCCTGAGGCCTCCTCATCGCCTGGGCCATGCAAATCCAGGCAGCCTGGGCAGTCTGGAGGGTCGGTAAGGGTGCACGCGCACTTGCTGCATGGGTACTTCCAGCCTGGCCTTCTGAGGGTGCTGGGCTGAGCTCGCGGCTCATCTCCACCTCCAGGCACTACATCCTGCCCGGGGCTTCGGCCTGCAGAGCTGGCGCTTGTGATGGGCACAGCACCGGGAATTTCCGGGTTTGACCTCTGCGCTTGGCTCTTCCTTAGTGGGAGCTGATTAATCAACTCTAGGCTGGACAGTGGTGGCAGGCTGTATGTAAAGCCAGGGTTTAATTGGTCTTTATTTGAAGTGATTTGTTAGATCTTGCTGCCCATGCTATAGAAGAGGACCCTGAACGAGGTGGCGGCTGTGGGTTATTTCCCTGGAGCGGGGGAAGGCGGATAAGGCCTCTCAGCAGGAGGCTGGGACTCGGTACAGCTGTTCCGCTGGGCAGGCCGGGCACCCCAGAGGTCTCCAGGTCCTGGTGGGATGAGCTCCGTTCTGAAGTACCCCACTGCTCCCGGAGTGAGGCTGTCCCCACGCTGGTGGCCATGGTGCTGCCTTGCTGCATGTCACCACCTTGTGACAGCAGCAGGAGTTGCATTTTAGCCTACATAACTGGAGCTGGCTGAGGGGTGACCGAGCAAACCCTCTTCTGTCTTCACAGGCCGTGTACAGACATCAACAACCCTCTCTCCTTCTGCTCAGCCGTGCCCGTGCAGGGACCCGCGCCCGGCCGCCTGTCCCCGTATTTGTTCCGCCCTCCTTTGGGTGTGAGCAGCCACGCGCTCGCTGGGGTGGCCAGGGGGCCCTGGGCACATTCCGAGGGAGCAGCAGGGACAGCAGCTCCCAAAGGGAAGCCCTCCCCCACCGGGCAATCTGCTCAATCCCCTGGCGAATGGGGCTTGCCTGCTGCCGGCTCTGCGAGCTGTCGCTCCAGCCTGCATCGGGGGAAGAGTGAGGCCCTTTCGGGTCTTGCTGCCTCCCGCAGCTCCTGCAGCATGGGGCAGCCCAGCATGGCTCAACAGGAGCCCTCTGCTCTCCAGGGCCCCTCTCAGCACTGCCGGGTGGGAAACAAGACCTCTCCTATTTACACATATTGAACAAACGTGCGTGGCCCTGTAAATCTTAATGCATTTTATTGAAGACAACTTCAGCAGCTGCCTGATGTTACTGGCTCACACTGGGGGCCCGGCTCAGCAGTCGCTGCTGCGCTTGGGAGGGAATTGGGATGGGGAAAACGGGATACAGATGGGGTCTGGCAGCCGGACCTGGGGGCTGCTGTTCTAGCTGTGCATTGGGTCTTGGCTCTGCTCTGCCTCCTTACAGAGCACGACACAGTGGAGCACCCCCGCTGTTGAGGCTTCAGCTCCGCGCTGTTAGGACGCTGGGGTGTGGCAGGGCCTGGGAGCTGCAGCCCTGCTGAAGCTCTGCCTCGTGTGCCTGAATTCACTGCCAGGGCTCACGGGCGCAGGCCCCTCTCCAGCTGACTCCATCCAGCTGCTTCATGCTCGTCTTGGCCCTATGAGGAGAGCAGGGATCTCCTGTTGCAGGGGCACTTTGGAAGGTGGATGATGGGCCTGGCATAATCAGCGTAAATGCTTGTGCCCTCACCCCTGGAGATATGGCTCTGCCTAGGGCAGGTTTCAGGGCCGTCATAGGAATCTTCTCATCAGCTCCTGGTGTCTAGGCCCCCGGGCTGAGGTCCTGCAGGTCCCTTCTCGGGACCAGGATTTGAAGTTTGCTGCCTGGTTGCAAGGGGGCTCCCTGGTTCAAGCTTCTGCACCCTGGGCAGTGTGCACGGGGCAAATGAAGCTCCATGCATGGCAGAGGCTCAGCCTCTACGTGTGTGATGCCCTCCAGACCTTCCTACCAGCCCCTGCCTTGTTTCACCTTTCCCATCTGACTCCAGCCCACTGGAGGGGAGGTAAATGCACAGCATCCCTTTTCCAGGCTCTTCATCGGTAGAGCAGGGCCAGCTACTTGCTCTGAAGCAGGCCGTACCACTGGAATCCCTTAAAAAGCTGCTAAACACCCCCCTCATTTTGAGAGTATCCTAACCTGGAAGCACTCGCTGAGAGTGGAGATGTTTCCTGTCCTGAGGGAAGGTGGGTGCCAGCAGATGCCACTTGGCCTCGAGCGCTGCTTGTTGTATCTGGAGGAGTGTAGCGGTGTCCATCGGGTGAAGGCAGCTGACTGCGCTGTGCTGTTCTGCCTGTGGTTGCCTGCCTCTCTTTAAGACTGTGTTCCACGTGTGCTGGCGCTGAGGTGCCAACCAGTCCCACTCACTTGTTGCTCTTGTTTTCTGCAGGGGTCCTGACAGCTGGAGAGCACACCTTTCCCTTCCAGTTCCTGCTGCCAGGTAGGACACAGAGCAAACGCCTTAGGGCTCTTCCATGCAAGCCTTGGCTTTTCCACCTGTGGAGCTGGACAGGGGCATGAGCTCTACTGCAGAGGTGGGCTGGTCTGCCCTGGGGACAAGAGGGAGTGTAAGGGCAGCCCCTAGTAGCAAAGAGCTTAGCCAAGCCGGGCTGGTAGTACTTCTGTGAGCTTGGTCCAGGGGACATGATGGGGCTGAGAGCAGATCCCCGCCCAGCCTTCTGACCCACAGCGCAGGCAGAGGGAGGATCTCTGCTCTCTCACCATGATGAGGAGGCTTCCAGTGAGGTCTCCAAGGTGTCCTGCTCCAGGTCTTTTTGGGGGTGACTGCAGTGTGCTCTCTCCAAGGTTCTTGCACAACCCTTCAGGTGAAAAGGATGTTTCAGGGGGCTATTTTCAGTTCACAGGTTGGCATGACTCAACCTTATGATGCCTTTTCCCTCTCTGTCTGGACTGCAGCCTCTGCTCCGACATCATTTGAAGGTCCTTTTGGCAAGGTCCTGCATCAGGTGAAAGCTGTGATAGACACGCCTCGCTTCTCCAAGGACTACAAGTGCTGCAAGATCTTCTATGTTCTCTGCCCACTTAACCTGAATGACATCCCTGACATTGAGGTAAGAGCAAGAACGAGCATGTTGGGAAGCACTTGGGCGTGGGGCACTTGTTCTCATGCTGTGGCTGTCTGTGGGATAATCGTGTAGTCAGGCGGCTTTGGGACCCCATGTCCTGCCTGTGCAATGGCAGGGTGAGGACTTCTGCTCCTCCTGTGTCCTGTTGTGCCATCTTGACTCTTCTGTGCATCACTTTGAAAGATCTTTGTGAGTTTCCAGAACGCAGAGAGGCATCTGCCCACAGTAGCAAGTGCTTCTGCAGACCTGGGTTTGGGGAACGTGCTAATAAGACAGCAAAGCTGAGGCTGTGGAGTAGCGAGGCCTGTTACCTGTGGCAATGCTGTTATCAGTCCTTTGTGGAACCAAGGAATCCAGTATTCCTGCTTGCTCCTTTTGAATCTCTGACTCCTGAATCTCTGAATCCTGAAGGCTCTCTGGCTCCCTTGAGCCAACATCTTTGTCCTTCTGTTGTCCTGCAGCAGCCCAACACTATGTCAATCACAAAGAAATTCAACTACAAGCTTGTGAAAAGTGGCAACATTATCGTGACTGCCACCTCGGATCTCAAAGGCTACGTCGTGGGGCAAGTGATTCAGCTCCGCACGGATATAGAGAACAAGTCAGGCCGCGACACTGGCGCTGTGGTGGCCAGTCTGCTGCAGGTGAGAAGCTCAAAGGGCACCTTGTTCCTAGGCTGGCACGGCTCTCGAACCCACGCCAGCCTGGCATCGCATTGACCGTGGTGTGCGGCTTCGCTGTGTGCATCTGGGAGCTAGCAGCGAGGAGGCCAGATCTTCATCTGGCTCTTTCCTCTGCCTCCTGGCGCTTGCTTGCGCTATCTCAGTGTATTGTGTAGTTGTAGGTTACTATGCCCTCTAATGTGTTTGGTAGATTTGTACCTGTGATCATTTGACAAAGCTGTCCGGAGGTTTTATGTCCTGCCTCAGGTATGTGGGAGATACTAGATGTCTGCAAACCTTCTGCTTGCTATTCTCTCTCTTGTCTGTGCAGAAAGTGGCTTATAAATCCAAGCGCTGGATTTACGACTTGAGGACCATTGCAGAGGTGGAAGGCTCAGGGGTGAAGGCCTGGAAACACGCCGAATGGAGGGAGCAGATCCTCGTCCCAGCCCTGCCTCAGTCCATTCTGCAGGGCTGTAGTCTCATACATATTGACTACTATATCCAAGTGAGTACCCTGATGTGCCTGGGGGAACGGATGTTCCTGTGGGGTCTGCCTTGGGGATACTGTGTCATGCAGCATACAAGGGGAGATGATCATTTGATGAGGAACTTGGTGGGACTAACGTCTCCAGGTAGGTGCCGATGGCTAAGACTGTCTTCGGGTTTCTGTGTTGAGCTCTGTCCTGGATTGTGATAGCTTTGTGGCACGAGTGGCCCTTGTAATCAGGTGAGCTTGGCTGTGTCCAGTGCAGTGTCTGATTAAGAGGATGTCATTAGCTGTAAGGGTGTCAGAGCCCTGGAACAGGCTGCCCAGAGAGGTTGTGGAGTCTCCTTCTCTGTAGATCTTCAAAACCCGCTTGGACGCAGTCCTGTGCCACGTGCTGTAGGTGACCCTGCATGTGCAGGGGTTTGGACTAGCTGGCCTCTAGAGACTAGATGATCTCTCTTCCAACCTCAATGATTCTATGATTATTTCTCGTTCTCTTCCAGGTTTCCCTGAAGTCACCGGAGGTCTCAGTTGCTCTCCCCATTTATATTGGTAACATTGCTGTGAACAGGGTGCCGCTCAGCCCCTCGCGATCAGTCCCACACATACCGTCTGCTGTGGTGCCCAGCGCCCCGCCGGAGGAGGAGGAGGAGGCTGCCAGTGGTTATCACCCCATGGACAATGTTTTGATCCCCACCAAAAGCCATTCCCAGCAGCAGCCGTTTAGCTATGCTCCAGGACTGAGCTTCCACGAAGCAAGGCTGGACTCGGAGCAGATAGGCTCCCCAAATCATCCCACGCTCTGCCTGTCGACAGGAGCCACTGTCCCTTATTATGCTGAGGGGAACGTGGTGCCCGTTTCCACAGCCAGCTCGCTCATTCTGCCCCCGGAGTACAGCACGTGGGGCTACCCATATGGTGAGCAGCCTCTCCTGACATCTGCGCGGGCTGGTGGTGCCATAGGAAATGTGTCCTGTGAGCAAAGGGCTAGCTGCAAGTGGAGCTGAAATACAGGGCTGGTAGCTTGGGGGGTGCAGTGGGAGAGGAGTGCGAGATGGCTCTGTCGGGTAGCTGGAGAAGGGGTTCTCTCACCGCTGTGAGTGCCAGCTCCCCGCTCCCTCTTTGGAAACCCGGGCTGCCCTGGGCTTGTCCTGAGAGGATTTCGCTGTTCTGCAGTGAGCTTTCAGCCTCCCACTGATACAAGAACTTCTTGGCTTGTGGTGAGGCTCGTGGGAGCAAAGCCAGGAAAATGATGTAACTGAAATCTTATGTCTGACTTAGAGCAGGCCTGGATTTGCTCTGAAGACACAAGTTGTGGGGGCGGAGCTAAGAGACCATCCAAGACAAAAAGCTTGGGTATATTCCAGCCCGCTGGATTCCCAGAGCAGTATGTGTCCCAGGTGGCCACAGTACCGCGGTGCTCTAGGGTGAAGGGAGCCTTGCAGGGCCCACTGTAACTGCTCTTACTCTTTATTGTCCCTGCAGAGGCGCCTCCATCCTACGAGCAGAGCTGCAGCACTGCCAACTCCAGCATCAGCAACGGCAACTAGCCCTCTGCCTCCAGCCCCGGGGTGTTGCCCACACCGGCACCACGGGGCTGCCCACTGCAAAGTCTGCTGCAGCACCAGGCGTCTTTTCTATCTCGGTGGCTGCTTGGCAGGGTAAATGGTGCATCCCAACTTGGGCTTTTAAGTCTCTTTCTTGGGAGGGGACAAAAACAAACAACAAAAAAAACACACAACCAAAAAGGGCCCCCGGAGCAGCCTGCGTGTGCGCAGGAGAGGTCTGGGAGTGGAAGCGCCTCATGCTGCTGCACAGAGCACTGCCCCACCGGCTCTGCCCCAGGGATGCCCTGTGCAGCGGCCTGCGTTTGAAGTACTGTAGTCAACACTAACTGCTTTACTGTCAAAGCACCTGCGATGCCTTATTTGAAATGTTCCTGACTTGGCTGGCTCCACTGGCTGGGCTGTGTGGACTTTCTCTTCTCTTTTGTGGGCTACATACTCTCCAGAAACGTTTCTGACAGCCTCCCTGCCTTGTCCTTGCAGGTGTGAAGGGTGGCTGAAATGGGAGGTTTCTTGGAGTAGGCAGTTTGGAAGGGGGATTCAAGAAGCCCAAAGCACAGCCCTTGTTGACAGAGCCGTGTGGTGGCAGCCTCAGTGCTCTGGCGGTGGCTGGGCCGGCAGGGAGGGGAGCGCGGGCCTGGAGAAGGGCTGTGCTGGGAGCAGAGCCCTGTGGTGTCGCATGGGCGTCCCTCAACGGCTCCCCGTGGGCTCCGCTGTTGCTTTCTGCTAGACCTGCAGGACAAGCAGCACTGCTTTCTGCAGGGGCCTGGGGTCCAGGTGGCCAGTATCCCATCTCCCCCAACAAGGTGCCCTAGGCAGGCCAGAATTCCGTGACAATCAAGTCACACCGGTCGCTCTGATGCTACCTCTGAGCCTGCCCAAGGGCCCTGTTTGCGGAAGCCCTTTCCTGAGGGGACGTTTGAGCCCGGGTGGCGAGCACGGGCGCTGCGCCCGGCCGCTCTTGTCTCTGCAGCTGGTCCTGGTTCCCTGCGTGTCTCTGGAGGCGCCACTCACTCCCAGCAGGGTGGGAAAACAAGGGAGAGGGAAACCAAAGTGCCCTGCCTCACCTGCAACCTCTGCTGGACCTGGCGCGTCAGGGGATGGAGCTGGTGTAGTTAAAACAACATTTTTCTTTCAAGCTCTTTCTCTTGGCGTTCAGCTGTTTTTAATATTGACTGCCCAGCCTGAGGAAGCCCCAGAGCAGCTGCTTGAAGCTGCAGGTGGTCAGGCGGGGCTGAAGCTGTGGCCTGCAGAGCTTGGGCACCTCCTAGAACTGGTCTCCCCTCTGCGCCGTGCAGGGCCGGCAGTTATGAGCACTATGGCTGCTGCCCCTGGCGCAGACCTCCAGGGCCGGCCCTGCTCTGCACTCTTTCTTTGCAAATGTTTATTTTTTTTTAAAGACAAAAAAGTTGAACTGCTTTAAGGATAGCATAGAGGAGGTGCTGTTCCAAGCACTGCTAGCACAACATGTACCAATGTTGATAGAATGATTGTCATTGTCCATTAATATATATATATATAAGAGATGAAGTTTTGTTTTTAATGACTGAATTCATAAATACAAATTTTAATGCTGTATTTAATAAATTATTCTAAGAGAAATGTGCTCTTTCCTCCATTTCTGCTACTTACCCATGTGCCTGTTCATGCCAAATCCAGGAATGAAATTAAGGAAGTTTTTTTTTGTTCTCATGGGAAAGATGGTGACTTCTGCCAAGACAGCTCTGGAAAACGAGCGTGGCAGGGCCTGCGCAGCGGCTGCCCCCAGCCACGGCCTCTCCGAGTGGCCTCCTACTCGGAGCTCTCTGCAGTTCTCAATCAATCCAGAAGATGTGGTTCTGGGAAGGCAGGGCAGTGCAGACACTGCTCCCTGTGGAGATGGGATGGCCAAGGGCTGGCTGGAGAGGCTGGAGCCCACCGCGCCTTGGCTCTCTTGGGAGTGGGCTTCCAAAGAGCCAGTCGGAAGAGATTATTAGAAGTGAATGAGGGATCCTTGTAAAACCCACCAGGTTTGGTGACACGGGGCCTGAAGTGTGCAGGTGTGCAAGGGTGTGCTCCAGATGCCACCACTGCCACGCAGTCCGAGCCTTGATATGGATCCCGGACACAGGCGTCCTGGAAAAGACCTATTTTGATGCATTTGTCTATACAGCCAGTGGAACCTGATTTCTCCATGCAGAACTGGTCTGCTGTTGCTGACCATAGAGGTTTTCAAAAAACAGCCTTACCCCTTTGTCCTAAATCATTGTGTGCTCATGTGAGGCAGCTTTGGATGGCGCTGCCAGACATGGCGCCTCACTCTGGGTACCCAAAAAGCCCCTGTGGGGAGCAGAGCTGATCTGGGCTCATGTGGTCACTGAGACAGAGTGTCCGTGCTGGAGCAGGGGGTTGGCCTAGATGATCTCTAGGGGTCCATTCCAACCTCAACCCTTCTGTGACTCTGATTCTTCACCTGCTGCTCGGCTAGTTCCTCTTCCCAGCTTTTATTCTCTGTTCTGATCTCCTTGCTTGGTGGTTTGTGTCTGCCATGAGAAGCATTCCTGATCCACAGGGGCTCAAAAGCAGGTGCTTGAGTCTTGTTAGAGTGACAAGATGTGCTGGGAAGGTGCATGTGTGTGGGAGACTGCGCGTGGGGAGGGCTGTCATGTCCCTCCATGCTGTGCCCCATGTGGCAGCAGCATCTGGTGCCTTCCAGCTTGTGCGCCCAAGTCCCTGCAGCTGGAAGAGCGTTCTTTTGCTTTATGCAGTGTCCCCTCTGCAAAGCCAGGAGCAAACGAGCGGGCTGCTCCTCATGGAGATCTGCGTCCACAGGCACCTGTGAAGGGCTGAGCACTGCAAGTTTGAGTGCATGGGGCAAAAGGGAAAAACGCCAGGATTTGAGTAGGTTCCCTTACGGTCAGTGGATTGTTCTTCTGCTCTCTACTTTGCTGCTCTCTCTCATCTTTGCAGCCTCTCTGATTTCAACCTCTTTTATTTATGGGGAGCGCTCTTAGACCTCCTGGTCATCCCAATTTCCTCTTTCTGAAGTCTGTAACAGAGAGGAAGAAAGGCTGTTCTCCATACCCAGCTCTGGGTAGAAAACTTTGGTACACAGAAATTCATTTAAATTCTTGGCTCAAATTTTCAAACAATTGTTTTTGGGGGGGATGTCTGAAATGGGGAGGGGAACTGAGAGAAGCTTGTAAGAGAATCATTTCCAAACTCAGCGTTCAATGGAAAATACCAAAAATATCTTCTGTCCTTTTTTTTTCCCCACTGCTGCTTTTTGCCTTGTGTGGTGTGTTCTCATCCTGCTTGCCACGTGCAGCCTCCCCATTTTGGTGGTTCAGCATCCCGCTAAACG